CTGTCATTGGATGGAAGGTTGTTCTTCATGCATTCCAGCAAAGTCAGCATGTCTTCCTGGGACCAACGGTCTGGTGAAGGGTAACAGAGGCCATCATGCCTGGCTCATGCTATCCCCCAAATCTGTTCCCCAGTTCTTGAGTGCTCAACTCTTCCTCCCTAGGGCATCCCAGCCCCTGGTTGCTTCCCATCTGAAGGCAGAGACAAGATATGGCTCAGCCCTAAGGAAACTGTGGCCATACTGGATGAGGGCAGGGACTCCAGTCCAGACCATGCTATACCTAGAAAGCCAGGCTCAAACTCAAGTCTGGCTTGCTTCAAAGCTATTATCATTTCTACTGTGCCAAGCTGCAACAGGCAGCTATTTGCTGTAAGGGGAAGAGGGGTGGAAATGAAGGTACAGTGATTCAGGACTTTGTGGGAAATGAGATAGCTTGTCAGAGGAGGGAAGCAAGGAGGCATTGTATCTAAATGTGCTGCCAAGTTCAAGTTCTGAGTGGATATTCTAAATGTGCAAGGACTGAGGATGGGGTGTGGGCAGTAAGGAAAATTCATGCACATGTTTCTCCTGCACAGCTGGAGACCAATGTTAGAGATACCCACTATCCCCTAGCCCCTCAAGGCAGATCAAGGGAGAATTTCTGGCAAATAAGAAAAAAGAAACAGAAACAGAAGCAGGATACAGGGCAACTCTGAGGCAAAGTAGGCAGGTGCACAAAAGCTCTCAGGGCCCTGATCCAGGGAGAACCCCCAGAATTACAAGCTGTCTTGTCAGCCCAGCTCCCCAGGGAAGCAAGACCAGGTCTGGACCAGTTATTTTCAGCCACTGAAATGCAGCCCCAGAGAGCTCTAGGCCTCTGTGGATGGGCTGGGAGAATAGTCACCCAAGGCCAGAAGTCAAAAGGGCTCTCCATTTTCATTCGCATCTCGTAACCTAGGCCAGGGATTCTGCAGAATGGGCCACAAGGACCCATAATCCCCTCTCCCCTCAATGTCCCACAAGCATGGCCAGCTGCCCAGCTCCATCCTACCCTCCACCCCCATCCAAACTGGATCACTGCTGAATGAGGCAGAGATCTAGTTGAGTACATATATCCCATGGCTTGGGGCCTCAAACCACCACAACAGCCCTCTTCTCCACCTGCCTCTACAAAAGCCTCATGGTCTTCCTAAAAAGCCTGAGAAGCCTTCCCTCTACAGTCATCATTCCTCCCATTCCAGGACACTGGGCTGGGACACACTTAAGGTTGAATGCAAACCCCAGAAGGCAGGCCTCCTCTAACATAGGGTGTGAGGGACAGGGAGAGAGGGGAGGTAAGCCACTCCAGGCCAAAAAATTTGGATTCAGCCAAACCAATCAAGTGTGGGAGATGCTTGATTCATAAGTACTCAAGGCACTTTCTCCCCCAATTCAGTGTATGCAGACTGGAAAAGCCCTTGAAGAAGGCAGTGTGCCCCACAGCCACGAGGCAAAGAGGGTTTAAGTTTCAGAGGGCTGGGAGTGGATGCCCCTACCTTGGCCTTTGGGGGCGGCCATTTCCAGGTCTGTGGGGCAGTCGGCTTCTCCGTTCATCCTCCAGCTGTCCAGCCACCTCCTCGGTCGTGCTGGCCGGGCAACCCGGGGTCAAAGCCACCTCACCCTTTGGAAGACATACAAGTTCCCACTCAGGAAGGCTGAGAGGTGAACGACTTTCTAACCCTCCCCGCCCAGAGTAAAGGTGGGCAGGTCCACGCTCTCAGAGACCCAGCCATAACCTTATCAGACTTAAGGGGTCTCTGGGAGGGAGAGTACGCCCCTCCTCTTCTTCCTGACCCCCCTCCCCCAGCCCCTGCGGCCCGGCTCCGCGGCGCGCGCCCTCCCCTGCCCACGCGAGGGCCTGCTCCCAGCTCCCGCGTGCAGCGAGCGCCCGCCCTCCGCCCCCCTTCCCCAACCCCAGCCAAAAAAAAAAAAAATCTCCTCCTCCTCTGAGCGCCCGCCCCGGGGAGGCCCCAGGCTGGAGGGCGGGGGAAGAGGAAGGGCGGGTAAAGGGCGCGCGCGGCCACGGAAGCGGGCACGCGCCCCAGTCTCCTCCTCCCGCCTCCCCCCAGCCGGTTCCCCCCGCCTCCGCAACCCGGCGGGGACCCGGACGCAGCGCAGCCGCCGCCAGCCCCGGAGCGCAGCGGCCGCACCGCCCCCGGGGACCGGATCCGGATTCTCGCCGCTCCCCCCTCCCGGGCTGCCTTCGCCGTCCCCGCCCGCACAGGCGGGCGAGCAGCCGGAGAGAAGCGGCCTAGCCTGCCCCCCGCCCCCGAGCCACCCACCCCGGCCAGAGGCGCCACCACCACCCAGCCACCCCGACGCGCACGGAGGAGCCCGGCACAGAGGCGCGACCGCGGCGGGAACCGCCGCCTCCTCCCCCGAGCCTGCGGCCCAGCCCCGCCGGCGCCCCCGCCCCGGCCTCCGGGGAGCCGAGCCAAGGAGAGGGCGGGAGGACGGCGGCCGGGAGGCGGGGGCGCAGCGCTCACCGGCCCCGCCGCCCCCTCCGGCGGCCGGGGAGAACTGCGCCTGCCGGATCCGAGAAGCGCGGGCTCCTCCGCCAGCGGCCGTGGCTCGGCTCAGGCCTCGCTTCCTGCCTTCCCCTCCCCCGGCTCTCGGCGTCCTCCCAAGTGCCCTGGTCTGCTCGCGCCCGGTCCCCTGCTCGGTGGTCGCTCCGGGTCCCTGCTGGGCGCCCACCGCAACCCGCGGTTCGCTCCCTGCTGTCCGGCCCCGAACCCAGCGCGCGTCCTCAGCCGCCTCGGTTACCCGGCGCAGCGCGGCCTCCGGGCTTCCCGCTCCGGCGGCTCCCTCCCCGGCTCTGAGTGGCGGCGCCCTCCCCCGCTCGGCCGGGCACAGCCGCAGCTCCCTCCCGCGGCGGCAGCGGCTCCTCCTCCGGGCGAGGCGGCGGCGCTGGGGCGGCGGCTGCTGCTGCTGTGGCGGCGGCTGCTGCTGCTGTGGCGGCGGCGGCGGCGGCTGTGGCTGCTGCCTGCTGCTCCTCGCGGCGAAAAGCACAAAGCACAGCGCCCTCCGCCTGCAGGCAGCCCGCCCGCCGCCGGCCCCGGCCTCAGCTCGCACACCCCCCGCCGCCGCCGCAGCCTCAGCCGCCGGAGCGGGGAGGAGGAGGGAGAAGGGAGGAGGAGGAGCGGGAGGGGGGGCGGGAGAAGCGGGGCAGCGAGCGCGTCCTTCCCCGTAGAGCGCACACCGACCCCCGGGGAGCGAGCGCCAGCCCGCCCGCCTCGCCGGCTCCGCTCCCTCCCACAGCCTGCCCGGGCGGGCTCCGCGGGGGGCAGCTGGGAGGAGGGGCGGGAGCTGGGGGGACCCGGGCGGCCGAGGCGGAGGGAAGGAAGGAGGGGAGGGGGGTGGTGGTGGTGCTGGTGCTGGTGGCGGCGGCGGCTGCTGCTGCTGCTGCTGCCGCCGCCGCCGCCGCCGCCGCCGGGGAAGGGGGGGGCCGGGGCAGGGAGACACGCAGCCGCCCGGATGGCGGCGGGGCTCGGAGCCGGGGCGGGCGGGCGGGCGGGCGCCGAGAGCGACCTCGCCAGACCCGCGGGGGAACTAGCAGGCTTTGCCGGCGCGGGAGGGAGGGCCGAGGCGCGGCCGCGGAGAGGGTGCCCGGAGGGGCCCCCGGCGGCCAGGAAGGCTTGGGGGGCGCCCACAGCCCTGCTCCGGAGCTCTCCCCCAAGTCCTCCCAGCTCAGACTGGGGCTTCCAGGCCAGCTCTCTCCCGCCTCCCGGAGCGAGCGGTCCGCGCCCACCCTCATCCCCCGGAGCGTGGCCACTGGTTTGGGGCGCACGCACGCCGATCGCGGCGTCCAGCTTCGGCGCCTACCTCGCGATCCTCTCATTGCCGAACGGTACATAGGAAACTTTAAAAAAACCCAAAACCGAAAATCTCTGCATTAAAAAAAAAAATCCCCGTTGCTCTTTACACCCCGGAAACGGCGAGGGAACGACGGGCTCCGGCGGAGGGGCCGCTGTGGGAGCCGGTTCAATCCAGCCCGGCATGGCTCCCCAGGCCTGCCCGGGCGCATGGAGATCGGTGCCGCCGCCACTCGTAGCAACCCCTCTCCCCCGAAATCCGCGGCGCCCGGGCTCACTTACCGAGCGTGTGGATGGGAGCGCAGGCCGGGGGCACCTGGGAGCACGGCGGGCGGAACAGCCGAGCCGCAGCTCCGCTGCAGCCGACGCCGGGGCAGCGAGTCGCCAGACAAAGCCCGAGATGGCGAAGCGGAGCGACGGCTAATGGCGAGCCCCACGCGCCGCGCTCCGCCCGCCCCGCTCCGCCCGCCCGCCCGCCCGCCTCGGCGCAGCGCAGCGCCGCTCCGAGCGCTTGCCCGTCAGAGCCGCCTCGGCGCCGCCGCCTCCCGGGCCACCCCGGCCTCGCCTGGCCCCTCCGCCTCCTCCGGGCGGCTCAGCCTCACCCCTTCCCTCCCACTGCTTTAGGGGTTGCACAAAAAAAAAATTTTTTTTTAAAGTAAAATGGTTTTCTTCCTTTTTTTTCTTTTTTCCTTTTTTGCAGGGCGGGCGTGTTGAGACTTTTGGATCTTTCTGCCCGCAGCTCGCACTCACCTGCGGAGCCGCCGGGAGGGCTAGGGGTGGGGGCGCGCGGGGCTGGAGCCGGCGAGCGCGGGTTGAAAGCCAGCCAAGCTCTGCAGCGCCCGACCCGGGCGTGTACGCCGCCGCCAGTCCCCGCAGAGAAATCGTCCTCCTACCCCCGCCTCCATCGCTCTGCGTTTCTCTTCCAATCAGCCGGTCGCTTGGTGGCTCCTCCATTCTCCGGCCAAGCCCAGCTGCCTAGAGCGAGCTCCACTCCTCCATCTGTTCGCCGGGGTCCTCGCTCCCCTGCCGGGGCTGGCGAGGCGGCGTGAGGCCGGAGGGGGATTTGCAAGGAAACCTGCCTGCTTCCCGCTCCCATTGCTCCATCCCCGCTGCCTCCTGCCTCCTGCTTCTCTCCTGCGTCTTTCCAACTCTCCCCTGTCGCCACTGGTGTGTGTCTGAGTGTGTGCGCGGTTTTTTTTTTTTTTTTTATTGCTCTTTGCTTTTGCAACCCTGAAGCAAAAGGGAGGGGGGGTAGTTACAGGGGAAAAAAAAAAAAAGCGAGAAAGAAGCTCTTAGATTTGCAACACATCGGAAAACCGAGGGAGCACCCCGCCTTATCCGATCTCCATGCTCCGCGAGGGCCTTCCGGGTTTTAAAAGGACGAGCTTATCAATGTCCCCCTCTTCGCTGGGTTTAGGATCCGAGGAGTCCGAGCAAAAAGTTCTCCCCCTGGGTCGTAGTGAGGGGTGTCAGGGTGGGAGTTGCGGGGATTTTTCAAGAAGAAGCGGCTATCCTTCCTACCCCGGCGTCGGTCACTGGGCGGGGGTAGGGGAAAGAGCAAAATCCCAGTGGGTTTGCGCGAGGGATCTTCTGGGGTCTAGGCGGGGGGGGGGGGGAGTCGGAACCGGGAGACACCACTTGGCGCATCTCCCCCTCGGTCTATACCTCCTGTCTTTTGCCAGCTCCCCCTTTAATTTTTTTTCTCTCCTTTAATCTAATTTCTTCCAACTCCACCTTTGTTGTTACCGGCGTCACGCCCGGACCAGCCAATCCCCGCCACGCAATCAGCTTGTCAAAAAGCCTCGGCCGGCCCTGGGAAAGCAGGCCGCAGGCGCTGCCCCCCGGCGGCGGCGGGCAGCCGCGAGGGGAGCCCAGCACCCGGTTCTCGCTGCTCCGGGCGGCAGCGGAGCAGCCTCCGACGAGACGTCTCCCGGTTCACTAAACTGCAGGCCGGGGATGAAAGGCCTGGACGGGGTCCACCACCCACCCTCCCACTATCATGGCTGTGGTTGTCTGTCTTTGCCTCCCCTTTTCAGAGGAAAGGTTATCAGGACAGGACGCAGGGAGCCAGAAGACCATCTGAAGGAAGCCTGCTTCCAGCAGGCCCAGTCTCCAGCCACCGCTTCTGGGGCAGCGCCATTGCTCCTGGCTCTCAGGCTGCCAGTCTCCCACACCGAGGCTCTACTGCCCGCATCTCGGCCAGCTGGATCACCCAGCCCTTTTCGACTCTCCCCTGGCATGCAGCCTTCTCCTCCACTCGGCCTGCCTCTTTGCTGCTGTAATTCCTCTTGTCTCCTGGGAGAAATGAGATTGTTTTCCCAGGACTTCCAGATCCCACTTCTGTCACGTTTCACAAACAGGGAGGAAGCCCTGTCAAGATCTGGTGTGTCCTGTTTTTGTTTGTTTGTTTGTTTTTGGGGGCACTGGCATATAGGAGAGGCAGATTTACCACTCGTAGATTAATTTCAGCTTCTAGGCCCCTAACTTTCAGGACCTGCCCAAGACCCTGAACTTAATTTTGTTTTCATCTTTTTTTTTTTTTTTTTTTTTTTGTCAAAAGAGCCACCGACCACCTACCCCTCACCCCGCAATTGCACATGTTTCTGGCCTTACAAACCCAGATTGGCCCTTGGAATATACACAGGGCAATTTGTGTAGGATCACACTGCACTAAAAGTGAGGCATGGTGGGCTAGGCGTACTGGCTCACACCTGTAATCCCAGCACTTTGGGAGACCCAGACAGGAGGTCTTAAGTGATTAAGCCCAGGAGTTCAAGATCAGCTTAGACAACATAGCAAGACCCTGCCTCTACAAACACACACACACCCTATTATAATACGTTAAAAAAAAAAAAAAAAGGAAAAGTGAGGCATAGAACTGACTTGTTTTGACTAGGAAAGAGCAAAGGGTTTGGAATCCAAAGTTTCAGCTTCCCCACCTTCTTAATAGTGTGTGAATCTGAGTGTCTTATTAACTTTCCCTGGTCCCAGTTTCCATATCTGTAAAATTAGAATAGCAATCTTATTTACTTTGCTTCTCTCACCAGGAATCAGAAGGTCAAATGAGATGATGTATGTAAAAGTCCTCCACAGATGGCACTTGCCACATTACAGTGAGAGAACCTGAGACCCCCCCCCCCACCAACAACGTTCCAAATCTTCCACAAGCAGATCTGGAGTCCAGGTGTCCTGGCTCCTGGCCCCGAACTTTTTGGCTGGACCAAGGGGCTTTTTGGTAAAATGCTTTGGAATAAAACAGGATGAACATGAATCATAAGAATGAGTATTTATTGATTCCTTGGGCAGCAAAAACTATGGCTGGCACCCTTCCCACTTGGAAACCAATTGGCTTGTTTTACATCTGTTTCATCTGTGGTGAGGTCAGGAGTCCAAGACTTGGGCTAAGGGCCAGAGTATGAGGGAATCTGCCCTTGTCCCTTTTTCTTTGCCCCCTTTCCTAGTTCATCTCCTTCCCCACCCTCCAGCCTTCCGGCATGTGCCTTGAAGCAGATCGCTGGCACTCAATAACCCTAGCCCAGGCTGGTGACAAAGCAGGATCCTAGCTACACAATTTCCACTTGGCCTCAGCATTTCCCCAGGTTGCCAGCATCCAAGCACCAGCTTATATAAAACCCCCAGAGTGCCTGGAATGCGTTAACCAAAGTGTGGTACTTAAATTCCTGGTCTACGGGGAGTAATTTTAGATGGTATACCAATATTTTCAGATTTATATATTTTAATATGTATTGGAAGTGTTCTGTTTTTAAATATTTATTTAAGATGGTAGAAAGACACACGTGTTTGGGCCAAGAATGTTACTGTCCCTTGTTACTTTTTTTTTTTTTTGAGACAAAATTTGACTTACCGCAACCCCCGCCTCAAGCGATTCTCCTGCCTCCGCCTCCCGAGTAGCTGGAATTACAGGCATGCGCCACCACACCTGGCTAATTTTGTAGTTTTAGTAGAGATGGGGTTTCTCCATGTTGGTCAGGCTGGTCTTGAACTCCCGACCTCAGGGGATCTGCCCGCCTTGGCCTCCCAATGTGCTGGGATTGCAGAAGACTGTGCCCGGCCTGTCCCTTTTTGTTTTTTGAGTCTCGTTCTGTCGCCCAGGCTGGAGTGCAGTGGTGCAATCTTGGCTCACTACAAGGTCCGCCTCCTGGGTTCACGCCATTCTCCTGCCTCAGCCTCCCAAGTAGCTGGGACTACAGGCGCCCACCACCACACCCGGCTAATTTTTTGTATTTTTAGTAGAGACAGGGTTTCACTGTGTTAGCCAGGATGATCTCGATCTCCTGACCTCGTGATCTGCCCGCCTCGGCCTCCCAGAGTGCTAGGATTACAGGCGTGAGCCACCATGCCCGGCCCCCTTGTTATTTTTTTTTATTGCTGTGTAAATTAGAGATAGTAAAGTACACACACTTTAAGTATACAACTTTTTTTTTTTTCTTTTTTGAGATTGAGCTTTGCTCTTGTCACCCAGACTGGAGTGCAATGGCACGATCTTGGCTCACTGCAACCTCTACTTCCCTGGTTCCAGCAATTCTGCCTCAGCCTCCTGAGTAGCTGGGATTAGAGGCATGCACCACCACACCCAGCTAATTTTTTTTGTATTTTTATTTATAATATTCTATTTTTAGTTATTTTTTTTAGATTGAGTCTCACTCTGTTACCCAGGCTGGAGTGCAGTGGCACGATTTCAGATCACTGCAACCTCTGCCTCCCAGGTTCAGGCGATTCTCCTGTCTCAGCCTCCTGAGTAGCTGGGATTACAGGCGACCACCACAATGCCCGGCTAATTTTTGTATTTTTAGTAAAGATCGGGTTTCGTCATGTTGGCCAGACTGATTTCGAACCCCTCACCTCAGGTGATCTGCCTGTATCAGCCTCCTAAAGTGCTGGGATTATAGGCAGGAGCCACCCAAACCAGCCTAAGTATACAGCTTGATGAACTTTTAGGTATGTGTATTTAGTATCATATTACATATATGCATACCATGTAACCAGCACCCAGGTCAAAATATCAAATATTTCTAGTACTTCGCAAGTTTTTTTTGAGATGGAGTCTCGCTCTGTCACTCAGGCAGGAGTGCAGTGGTGCCATCTCAGCTCACTGCAAGCTCCACCTCCCGAGATCACGCCATTCTCCTACCTTAGCCTCCCGAGTAGCTGGGACTACAGGCGCCCGCCACCACGACCGGTTAATTTTTTCTTTTTCTTTTTTTTTTTTGTATTTTTAGTAGAGATGGGGTTTCACCATGTTATAGCCAGGATGGTCTTGATCTCCTGACCTCGTGATCCGCCCACCTCGGCCTCCCAAAGTGCTGGGATTATAGGCATGAGCCACCGCGCCTCGTGCATTTAGCAAGTTTACTCAGTCAGTATTCCCCTCCAAATGTGATCACTGTTCTGAGCTCTATCACCATTATCACCATAGATCAGTTTTGCCTGTTTTTGTAGTATTTCCATTGTATAAATATACCACAATTTATCCATTCTACATTTATTTATTTATTTTAAAGATGAAGTCTTGCTATGTTGCCCTGACTGGTCTTGAACTCTTGAACTCCTGGTTTTTGTTTTTGTTTTTTTTTGAGACAAAGTTTTGCTCTTGTTGTCCAGGCTAGAGTGCAATGGCATGATCTTGGCTCACTGCAACCTCTGCCTCCCGAGTTCAAGCGATTCTCCTGCCTCAGCCTCCCAAGTAGCTAGGATTACAGGCATGAGCCACCACACTTGGCTAATTTTGTATTTTCAGTAGAGATGGGGTCTCTCCATGTTGGTCAGGCTGGTCTTGAACTCCCGACCTCAGGTGATCTGCCCGCCTCAGCCTCCCAAAGTGCTGGGATTATAGGCGTGAGCCACTGTGCCCGGACTTGTTTTTTTCTTGAGACAGAGTCTTGCTCTGTCACCCAGGCTGTAGTACAGTGGTGTGATCTTGGCTCACTGTAACCTCCACCTCCCAGGCTCAAGCCATTCTCATGCCTCAGCCTCCCAAGTAGCTGGGACTACAGACCTGCACCACCATGCCTGGCCAATGTTTTGTATTTTTAGTAGAGACTGGATTTCATCATGTTACCCAGGCTGGTCTTGAACTCCTGAGCTCGGGCAATCCGCCTGCCTCCACCTCCCAAACTGCTAGGATTACAGGCGTGAGCCACCGCACCCGACCATAAGTTCAAATTAATTAAAATTAAATAAAATGGAAAATTCAGTTCCTCAGTCACATTTGCCATATATCAAGTGCTCCATGGCTGTATGTGTCTAGTGGCTACCTTACTGGATAGTAGAGATATAGAACATTTTCTAGGCCGGGTGCAGTGGTTCACGCCTGTAATCCCAGCACTTTGAGAGACTGAGGCGGGTGGATCACCAGAGGTCAGGAGTTCGAGATCAGCCTGGCCAACAGGGTGAAACCCTATCTGTACTAAAAATACAAAAATTAGCCTGGCGTGGTGGCAAGCACCTGTAATCCCAGCTACTCGGCAGGCTGAGGCAAGAGAATCACTTGAACCCGGGAGGCGGAGGTTGCAGTGAGTTGAGATCCCACCACTGTACTCTAGCCTGGGCGACACAGCAAGACTCTGTCTCAAAAAAAAAAAAAAAAAAAAGAAAGAATAGAGTGTGGTGATTTGGGGTACATGGTGTGAGGGGATGGCAGGATATGAAGGAAAGGGTAACTGAGTAGAGCTCTTGGAGGTAAAACTCACAAAAATGTAGGGCTGCCTCTGACCTACTCCACCTGCAATTTTTATTTTTTATTTTTTAATTTTTAATTTTTAGAAGAAATATGGACTTTAATGAAGAGTTTTCCCTTTGGTACAAGTGAGACCCATGGAAACATCCCAACAACAATAAAAGGAGGCCTTTATCCACAAGGGCTAAAGAGAAAGCCCGGCTTGCTGTTGTGTGGCCATTCCAGGCCTAGGCAGGGCTGGACCTGTAGAAGGTACTCAGGAACTGCAGGTTTTGCATTTCCCCTCTGTGAAACGAACATGCATTCCCGCAAACTTCTGCCTCCCAGCCTCGTTGTAAGAGGCCCAAGTTTTTCTAGTCCTAGCTGGAAATCAATTTCATCTGCCTCAGGTCTCTGATATAAATAATAATGCTGCTGATCCCTGTTACCTCACAGGCCTGGGCAACGAAAATGCTGACAGCTGTAAAAGGTCTTGGAAAATTCAAAAAGGTGATGTATAAATGTAATAATTGATTATCATTTTGTGCTCAAGAATAAGCCATGGAAAACAAAATTAGGAAAGTAAGTCCATATCCCTAAAATGTATGCATATAGAATTTTAAAAGAATGCAGTTCTTGCAGATGGTATTCAGGCATGGTCTACTGCTTTAGAGTCTCAATGCCCTTTTTCCCGCCTCCACAAAACCCACCTGGGAGAGTTTACTGCACATGAAGCCCAAATTCAGTCACCCCACCCCTCCTTTCTCAGAAAGGGAGGCAGGGCAGAGGCTCCAGGAGGAAGGGCTACATTTTGGCTGTAGAGTACAATAGGCATGCATCATGGGAGGGTGGGGTTTATGAAATGTGTATACAGACTCCTTGGATTGAGGGGCCCCCGCCAGGAGGCACTGAGCAAGGGAGGGATCCATCTTCCCCCTGGCTGGGAGCGGGGCTCTGGGGCAATCTCTAAGGGTTGCATATCCCCAGGGAGAGGGGATAGCTGCCACTCCTGCCTCTGTTCTCCCAACCCAAACCAGAGAGGGTGCTGAGCAAGGAGAAAACAGGGTCCCAGAGGCCAAGAAGGTGTCAGCATCCCTGTCATAGAACTCAGGGACCCATGAACTCTTTTTTTTTTTTGAGATGGAATCTTGCTCTGTCGCCCAGGCGGGAGTGCAATGGTACAATATTGGCTCACTGCACCCTCCACCTCTCGGGTTCAAGGGATTCTCCTGCCTCAGCCTCCTTAATAACTAGGATTATAGGTGCACACCACCACACCCAGCTAATTTTGTATTTTTAGTAGAGGCGGGGTTTCACCATGTTGGCCAGACTGGTCTTGAACTCCTGACCTGAAGTGATCCACCCGCCTTGGCCTCCCAAAGTGCTGAGATTACAGCGTGAGCCACCACATCTGGCATAAACTGTTTGCATAAAATGTCTTCAGACCTAGGAGATGGTCAAAGGCACAAAGTTTAAACATGGGGTGGGGGTTGTGGAGGGGGTACAACACAGAGCTCAGGGGTGTGATTTGTTCCCCCTTGCCCAGAAGGGTGACTGCTCCACTGGGCCTATCACCACAGGACATTTTCCATGACAAGCAC